TGCAAGTAGTGGAAATACTGTCCAATAAAATCTCGTAATATGGTAATCAGATCATAGTTTTATAATTGTAAGTACTAAACCATTAAAGAAAATAGTTTCATCTCGATAGTGTGTCTCAAAAGTGTTGACACGTTGATTCGTGCATCCTTGCTAATACTTGCAGTAGGCAGGTCTTGGCATCGACGCATCCAATCCACATCTTCGCCAGTGCCGATCAGTGTGGCCTTATGAATCACGTGTTGCCTGTCACTAAGATTTAACACACGTACTGCAGAGATGTTAGCGGTACTTACTAAAGTTCGTGATTCGCGATTTTCTATGGAAGGTCATTATTTAACCTTTCAATTAGTACATACCGATGCGATTGTCCAGAGTTATGAGGACACTATCTGGCACGATTGTTTCTGATCTGGGAGGAAGGACAACTTTTTTTAAGCTGTACACTTTACCTGAAAATGCCCCTCCATGAACAGTTCTTCTGACAAACGTCGATCTGACAACCATTATTTCTCATGAAGTCTAGGCCAAGGATGCAGTCGTCAACTATATCAGCCACGATGACGTTATGATGATAAGATTGGTTGCCAACTTCAACTCCACCTTCTGTTCGCCTCAGACGAGTATGCGCTGACCAGTGGCTGTTACGAGGTCTATTCGAGCTCACGGCTACATGTGATGGCCCTCAGAAACTGATTTGCAAGTTGGGAACTGACAACTGTGTGAGAAGCTCCCGTATCACTCGTCAGCTTACATGGTGTTCCGTTGATTTCGCCTCTGTTCCCATCATGGGTTTGCGAGATCAAAATCCTTGGGGCTCTTTGAACACCAGCCAGTACTCGCCCCGCAGTTCTTGCGTTTACTCGTTTCCCTGCTGCTGCTGGACAGTGCCATTAGCCGCCCTAATCTCCTGAGGCCGCTCGTCTTCACTTCCTATGCTTCGCTTAGAGCAGCTAGACCGAAGATGACCCTTTTCGCCACAGGCATAACATCTAGCGCTATACCCTTTAAAACAGACGGTAACACACAGGTGACGCCACAACCTGACGAGATGAGACCGATGTTCTTGTCTCACGGCACTACTTCTAAGATAGTCGAGCATTCCCGCAATAAACACGTGAATAACATCGTATTTTTAATAGATGTAGAATAGATAGAGAAATTGATTTTAAAAAGCAATTGAAGTAATTAGTAGGTATTTAATAAGACTGTAAAGTTCGCCGCCTCGTCGCGACGACGGCGTCGCTTTGATGTCGCCGACATTGCGACGCTGCCGTGTACAGTTCACCGACTTATGATATCAATGATGTTCTAATTCGGCAATTTTTTTTTTATTTAGTTGTTCTAAGTTTGCATTTCTGTATTTTCGCACATTTTTTATTTTATTTTAACCGACGTATATTGAACAGTGTTATCTGTTATTTCATTTTTTGTGATAGACTTTATCACAGATTATAAATTGTCATGCCACTGTCATTATGTTTATTTCTTTAAAGAACAATGGCGGGTCTCCATGCAAACACAAATAGCTGGAATCAAATTGCATCGTCTTGTAGTGAAAAAGATATCTAAAAATTCGCTTTTATTTTAGAATCTATGTGTAAAAAAATTTTTAATTGGGAAAGACTAGGAAAAATTTTTTTGGTTACGTACTGTTTTTTTTTATATTTGGACTTTTTTATCTTTAAAAGAGTACATAGATAAAAGATTCTTTTATAATATAGCTGCATACTGCTTCTTTTATTTTATCAATTTATCTATCTATCTATCGACTTTTCAAATTGGTTTTTTGTACTGTTTTACATAATTATTTGTGTTTTACATAACTGTATGTGTGCCATTTAAATAAAATAAAAAAAGATGATAATGAATTATTATTTTCCACTAGGTAGCTGTAGAACTTTCGTAGGTTATATTTTTATGTCATTTTTAATCTTCTTACACTTGTGTACCTACATATGCATTTCTAATAAGTATATTCCTTTTCCTTAATTTATTACCTATTTCAACATGTAATGAATTTTAAATTTTAAACTTAAACTAAAATATCCATCCACCGCCTGTCGCGTCAGACGTTTAGTCTTTAATGATTTAGTACTTACAATTATAAAACTATGATCTGATTACCATATTACGACATTTTATTGGACAGTATTTCCACTACTTGAAAAAATTGCTGTAAAATGGTGACACTAAACTAATAAAGGAAATTAAAATAACGATAGTTTCAAAAAAACGTAGATATTTACTAAAAATAGTTTCCTATCAATGACATTTTAAGACGCTCAAATTATGCCCAACTACGAATTCACCATTGTTCTTCTTGGGTGAGTAGGTACTAGCTCCATCAGTCTTTCAAAAGTTGCTTGCGCGTTACATAATCCAAAGGGCATAACTTTGAACTGCCACAGCCCCTTCCCTGTAGAAAACGCAGTCTTGTCTTTGTCCTTGGTCATCCATGTCCAGTGTGTCATCTATTCTTGGTAATGGGTACCTGTCCTTCGTCGTAATGTCGTTCAAACGGCGGTAGTCAACACAAGAACGCATGCTGACATCCTTTTTCTTTACAAGCACTACAGGTGAACATCAAGGGCTGGATGAAGGCTCTATAACGCCGCCCCTCGCCATCCCATCAATCATGGATTCCACCTCATTTTTACGTGCTACCGGTAACCTTCTTGGTCGCTGATGAATAGGCAACTCATTCCAGTCGTTAATTTTGTGTTGAACAAAACCGGTCTTTCCTATATCAGCATCATTAGAAGAGAAAATATCGGCGTACTTAACTAACATCCTCTTAGCCTCGTCTATTTCTTCCGTAGATTATAGTTTCATACCGACTATCGAGATGAGACCGTTTGCGTTCACCGCAAAAAAGATACCATTTGTCCTCTCACCTCATCTTAGAGGGTAAGGTAAATTGGCCTCGAAGAAGCACGGTGTGCTGAACAGATCGAGGCAGTATTTCACGCCAGCCCACAACCTTCAGCTCTATAAGGCGCAAGTCCGGCCGCATATGGAATACTGTTCTCATCTCTACGCAGGGGCACCTCAGTACCAGCTTTTCCTTCTGGACCGCATCCAACGAAAAGCGACTCGAATCGTCGACAGCCAAAACATCTCCGATCGGCTCGATTCCTTTGGCGTTACGTAGAGATGTGGATTCAATCTGCATTCTCTCTCGCATACTTATATCATGGAGAGTGCTCCGAGGAATTGTTCGGACTAATACCAGCTGCAAATTTCCGCCATCGTCCTACACGGCAAAATTTTCATCCTCATTACCATGATAGTTGGCGCTCCACTACTGTGCGCTTTTCGAGACACTTTTTGCCCCGCACAAACAATCTGTGGAACGGGTTATCGTCTTCGGTATTTCCATTCACCGCAAAAAACCGCCACCGGCGATTGTCGACGAGGTAAGGCGTCTGTTTCTTGTAAGTCTTGGTTTCTTGTAAGTATTTTTTGATAACGGTAAGGGTGCAAGCCAGCAGTGTTTATCAGCTTCCATACTGCGTATTGGATTGGTGGGATCGCGCGGTGGGCCCGTGTGCTTGCTCGAGGGTCCCGTTCAAAGAAGTTGAAGATTTGTTCTTCAACCCCTATTGCAAGTCTTGACCTTGCCATACCCCTTGCGTGTGACGGGGTTCTCTAAACTGTTCGTAGACGAACAGCCTCTGGTTTGCGGATAAAGCCGTTTGGCGGTTAGGCACCGATAGATTTTGTGTACCTTGTCTTCGGAGTCGTGATATACTTCTCCACTCTTACAAGCGCTGTGCACCATTTAGGCTTTCACCACTACGAATGTAACAACGCACCATTTCGTAATTCTCGTGATTAGAAAACATTGTTTGCACTGTTGACGTCACGGAAGAACGAGCGGTAAACACAAATAATGCACCGACGCGGCCAACTGACCTATTAATTATTTAATTGTTTGATTTGTACTTGCCGGCGGCCGGGTTACACACACACCTCACCCCGACACACCGCGTCCCCCGATGCATTCCTTTTCTCACTGTTTACGTAACTAGCATAATTCCAATTTGTACTTTTAAATTAGTGACCACGCTGCTAAGTATTTTCTTCGGGATGAAATATTTTGTGTTGAAAATTTGACCTACCATTTTTTTTTTAAATGGGATCCTTAAATAATGTCTGCACTAGACACTAAAAAAAGTTTGGACGGCAACTACAATTTTACGGTGTATAGTTTAAAAAAACAATCGTAGTAATTACATTTTTTTATTATTCACAATAACACAAAAAAAAACTTATTAATATTTCATCTTTCGTTTTGTGATTGTAGTTATTTTCTGTACGTTTTTTTACTATTTATTTGTATGATATATGTATGTAAAAACCTCTTTAGTCACTGACTAATGTTGTTTATGTACGTGTTTTACGCGGAAGGAATGTATTGACTAACGTGGTTTACACCCAGAATACGCATCTAAGTAGGTACTTATGAGAAATAATTTTCAGCAAAAAAAAACATGCTGGAAAAATATGTGACTTCAGAGGTTTTTTAAATTACCGATTCAATTGTGTTTTTTGATATGAAGCTATCATTCTAAGCGTTATTATTTAAAGACCTAGGGGTGAAATGTGTAACATTGAGCATTGTGTAAAAGAAATATAGAAATAAAGTAAAAGTAGAACCTGACGTTAGGTGCTACAGTTTTCAAACCTTAACGTTAATTGGCATGTTGTAACAAGCATAACAAACCTCTTCCTTTACGATGGTGGCTAAAAATATGTCAATCTTTTAACTATACTTTTTTCTTTATAATGCACATTTTATAACCATTTAATGTCATGGGTTATGGTTTGACCTCTTTCTAAACGAGTTGATTTGGTTTTTGCGGATGCTCAATGACATGACAGATATCTGTCAATAACTTTACACAAAAATATTCTTTAAAATGCTTTAGTATTCAATTATTAAATACAACTGATCTAGTTTGGTTATAAATTATTATACATGTAATGTGTCAATATCAATGGAACCACAGAGGACTATTTATGCCGGTCCAGTAGCTACCAAACACGAAAATACAGCTCGCAAAAATGCTGCTGTTAAACCTCACGTTCCTAAACATCCTCCTAATAAAGAGATCATTACCGTCCATACAAGTGCACCTCAGTTAGAAACTCATGCATCTAATGTTCAACAAAATCAAATATATCAAGGAGAAGTTAATGTCCTCTCAGTCATGTAAGTTAACGTTTGGGAATTTCATAATAGACGCTACAGTATAGACACACAGTGCAGTGCCTGCTTGTCTGTTTTGCAGGGCCCTCGCGCCTTTGCATTTTGCAATCAATGACGTCAACGGTAGGTTTTTTTAATAAGCCATGTATAGTATAGCCAGTTAGAAAGCTAAACATTTAGGACCGGCGCTGACTGACGTCGCGGTACTGCACGGTTCGGTAAAGGATTTTATTTCTGATCAAGTTATTTTTATCCTTATTTCAATTACTTTAGAATTCATATTACCTGATTTTGATACAATCATATTGCGGCGCATCATGACATGCCGCGGAAAGTTGTGGCATGCCGTTTCATTCCACGGATTGCTGCGGCGTACCACCGTCACATGATTATGCTTCGGCATGCCCCGTCATACCAAAGCGTAATACGGGCTGCTGAAGCACGTCCTGCCTTGCCGTGCCGTGCCACGACGCTACTGGCAAGGAAGAGGAAAAGGTAGCCGCATTGTAGTAAAAATGTAAGAAACCATAAGAGAGTCCCACAGTCCAACTACTTGTACTGGAGTCTATGTGTCTCTGTATCTGATTTTTTAAATTATAAAATGTTTTAATAAAAGCTGTGCTCACATCCTTCCTATCTAAGGCACAGTATGGCTCTCCATGAGCTTTTGGTTAGATTTCGCCCCACCGCTAACCTCGGTATGGTAGCGACTCAAGGGGGTTTCCACACGTATAAAGTAAAAAGGAATAAGCTATGGTTGACTCCCTGGCCGGTAGCGACAAAGGTTTTACCTCGGTCGAATCTTTCTGCGAGGACCTCATCTCGCAGAAGGGGGCGGCGGACAGGGGCCCGGGATTAAGATCTCTCCTATCAAGTCTGGTAATCATACAGGTCTCCTAGTACAGATACCAGTCTCCCACACAGATTTGCTAAATGAAATTGTTAATTTGATTTTGTATCGTTTCACTTCTTTTGAATTGTGTATGCTGTGTACGAGAAAAAAATAAAGACTATTATTGTCATCTCGGTACCAATTTGCCGCTGACGTGTGTTATTTCCACCTCATGTCGCACTGAGTGTAGCAGCGGGTGGACATGGCACATGAGATACCCTGTTGTACATAATGTGGCACACCGAGTGTTTTTAGTTCGTTCGATTACGACACATTGCCCACTGACAGCACCATCTTTATCATAAGGACACCCGGGGCCCATGCTCTTATCTTCACGGGGGCCCTGAAAGCGAATACATAGAGCGATATATTCGCTTAGCTTCCATATGGGTAGTAAAAAAAAATTGGAAAAATTAAACACTACATCTAACGGAAATTTGGAATGATTTTTTGGGAATTGAAAAACGAAACAAGCTTTTTCACAGAATAAATCTAACGTTCATGACGTTGCAACAAAAATCTGATGCGATAATTGCTTGAGAATCCAAAGAATTCGCAAAACACGTGTCACTTTTTTGAAGGATTATTCAGGGATTGTACAGTTGAATAGCAAAGAAAAATTTCGTTTAGATACGTTTAATACGTATAATAAAACGATTTTTTAAATGTTCAGATATAATAGTTGATACATTTTAAATGCACATTTGCAAAATTGTTTGGCAGCATATCAAGAAATTAGCAGTCATTTTAATTTTCGTAATCAATAACAACGACGACATAAATGCATAGGAGCTCAAATCAGCTGTTTTCATTTAAAGAACTTAGTAAAGAAATCAGCGGATTTGAATATCTCAAGCTTACAAACCCTAATAAAGTGTGATAAATTAGAAGAAACTTGTAGTATGAATACAAGTATGTATGTATTGTAGTATGTTTAGTATTTTAATGTATACAGGGTCACTGGTTAAGTCAACCCAGATACTTTAAGGGGTTGTGGTTGATATCAATTCTGATAGATTTCAATATGAAGTAAGATTTTCAAGATATTGGACTTAAGATATTTATTACAAATAGCCGAAATTTTGCCTAATACAATTTTTTAAGGTTTTTACTGTTTTTGTGTAGTTAACACATTGTTTCATAATTTTCATTACCAAAATTGTAGTTAACTTAACTAACTGGGCTGCAGTAGATGGTTTGTAATAGCAAATTTGTAATTATGAATTGTATAATTAAAAAAATATCTAAAACAGTTAAGTTGCAGATTTGTGAAAAATAATGTACATATTGTCAGCTAACTAACAAGGTATATTAGTTTACGATAATATCAGAATTCATAGAAAAAAAAACTTATATAAAAGACCAGGAGTATTAGGAATTAGCTTTAAACGCGGTAGGTAGAGAGTACAAAATTTGGCTTGTATTTTTGGAGCCTTTCGTTTTCTATTCGTGACTAACTATTCCTAACTGGTTGCTTTGTTATAGTTAAACCGTCGTAAGCTTGGCCCTCCTGATGGTTTGCGGGACGCGGGGCGGGTGATACGATCGGCTATACATGACACGATGTACTAACTCGATATCTTCAGATTTATTTGTTTGAGATTTAATCTACACACGATGTAATAAAAATCGAATTTATTTCCATGTATTATAATGTCAGTGTATTGTAAGTTTTTATGATTAATTGTAAAATTTAGTACTGTAAAATAATTTTAATAAAATCACCTTATCTTCATCATGTAAATTATATTCAGATACAATTTAAAAATTAAGTAAAATAATAAATATTCTTTATTAGAACTTTAACAGTAGAACCTCTGTAAGCCGAACTTCAAGTTTTTAAATCTTTTTGTGACGCAGAGTCGGCAGATTATTTATATTGCAAAATAATACCGTGTGTAGCAGTCTTAAGAAAAATAACACGTACAGCCATGCTTTCACGTCAGTCACTGCCGGCGGACAGCGACGCACTAGCTAATTGGTTAAATGCACCCCCGCCCCGCGTCCCCCAAACCATCAGGAGGGCCAAGCTTACGGCGGTTTAACTATAAATTGCTTTGACACGGTACTATTATAATACAGTACTCCAACTTCATACAAACGGACGAAACGGGAGCTATACCTACGCGCCTCGATCTCGGGGTGCGCTCGGGGCGCAGACAGTCACGGCTGTACCGCAGTGTCGAACGGACTGCGTGTTGTTTTTTTAACAATAACCGCGCGATTTTTTCTCTAAAAATCAGTTAATATGACGAGCAGGAAATATTGTGCTGTTTTTGGTTGTATGAATTCGTCAATAACGCATCCAGACATAAGTTTTTTTAAATTACCTGGAAACTCTGAAAAGTAAGACTATAAAATAATTTTACTTACTAGTACGTAGGTACATAATGTGTGTCTTTTTAATGGATAAGTATTTCCTTTTATCTCACGAAAAAAAAGGTGTTTGGATGAATAAATAAAGCAAATAGAGTAACGGAAAGTTATTGAGACGAGTGAAATAGGGAGTTACATGCGGTTCTGAATGAATCATGATACGGTAGGTACCTACCTACTTACGCTTGTGTTAAAACTTCGGTGCATGTGTGTTTTGTTACTTTGCATAATTCAAAGTAAAGACGTGGTATTTTATTATTAATAATATTTGTTTATTATCTGTGTGTATGAATAATACTAAAAAAAATTTGTTACCGTCTGTGTGTCATTAGACAGTTTTAGAAATTTTCACAAAGTGTTTCTGCTGCTACTATAACAACATATACCACTAAAAACTGGTTTTATTTTCTCGGTATTAACAACAACAGCTAGACTCATATATAATATTTAGATGTTTGAGGGTTGTGATTTTAAAACATTCGTAGTCAGCTGTTCAGCTTTTTAATAATTAATTAATTGGTGACCAAAGAATTTTTGTTTTGAGTTGTTGCGAGTTGTAGGTAGGTACCTAATTTATAGAGACGTTAATAAGCTGAGATAAAAAGTTACTTACTCGTCAGCTGTTTCTTGCATTCTAGTTGAGTAGGTGGTAGGTGTTGGAGTTTCTAAGGATTGGAGTTTTGTATGGAGAAAGCACATTTATTTTATTTTATAGAAGGATTTTTTTCGGTCGCTAATTTATAAGCCCGATTTGTTTTTCAAACAAAAACATGTTTTTTTAATTAAATCTACCAATCAAAAAACAACACGCATTTTTATTGAACAATTCCTATTCAATATACAAAGTATTTCATTTATTTATATAAAAAGGATATTTACAATCACAAATCTAAATAGAAACAGAAAGTAGGCAAATATAATTAAAATGCTGGAGACGGGCAGCCCTAACGCATGTTTAAGTACCGCGCGGCTGTAGGCATTTATTTCTATCATGCGGCCGAGTTACAATACTGTATTATAATTGTACCGTGGCTTTGATTTGTGCTTCTGCATTGGATATGATGACCTATACGAACGAGGAATATGTTAATATTTTGATTTCTTATGGATACTGGCAAAAACACTCGTAACCGATTTAAACCATCAGCATACTTTTCTAATTAATACTCGTACCATGTGTAAATATTATTTTAAGCTGAAAAATATTTTTATTATTCATTTTTTTACTGTCCAACAGGGCCCCAAAATCTTGTGTGCCCAGGGGCCCCGGCATGGTCTAAAAAGCCTTGCCCACTGAAAATCCTGGTAGAGCGACGGCCTCAGGGAGCTTCCATGTGCACAAAAAAAAGGAGCGAGCTCACGTCGATAGGCAACTGCCTCTTTACTTGTATACCTACTCATCTTTTTTTTATTTTAGAGATACAAATAAGGATATCTTATGCTGTAAATATACAGAGGACGATAACCACATTGCTGCTGGGTTTAGTGATGGAACTATTCGAGTTTTTTGTTGTAACAACGGTGACTGTAAGCATACGCTTGTCGATGACGAAACTCGTGCTTATCCTGGCCCCGTGACCGCAATCAAGCATCGTCCAGTCAGCAAAGCACATCCAATTACCAACATGTTATTATCATCCTGTTAGTATTAAAAATTATTAAACTGTTTTACATACCCTGCCACATGCAATAACACCACTATAGTCCAGTCACTTTAGCATAACAAAGGGGTCCACCTCGCAATGAGAGCTAATAAGCTAAATTTTAGTATATACCTTCATTTTGGCGCTCTAAAAGAGCGTCTCAAAAGTCTCATATAATTTCGTGTCTATGTAGTAAGTTATTCAAGATTAAAGGTAAAAAAAAAACAGTCTTACGCGATTATCTCTGTTTATATTGCTCCAATTATAGTTTTAATGTGTTATAAAATTGTAGAGCATACAATTTGAGACAAAATTTACCTAGACAAATAATATAATAAATTTATATTCTTATTAAAATATTATTAAAGAAGAAGAAATTGTAGTCCCGTGATAATTAAACGAAAATGTTTAGACACAAATATCTTATCTAAAAAGCAAGCAGCATCCAATACCGGTCCAGTTGGTAATTTATTGTCACTGAAAGTGTCCTGGTAAGCAATAAAACCTTTTTGGAGGTCAACGTCTTGCAAATTTAAGGAAAAAGTATCCTAAGCCTAATATTCACCCGGCATTTTTTTTCTTAAACGAATAAAAAATAGAATTTTGGGTTTGAAAAATAAAACTTTAATCATAATTACTGTTGAATAGGCTATAATTCGTTCACATTCAAACCGAACAACTAAGATTGGTTATGACAACTACCTCTATCTCGATAGATAGCGTGCTACCATGTTTTTGAGTTGCGATATGGTTTCGTTACTCATGCAGACTTATTACGGCGTTCTTATAACTTCATGTAAACTCTGGTTTAATTTAATAACGTAAAAATCTTTCGGCTTTACTAAATATTTTCATCTAGGGGAATACGTCACAGTTTTGTAAGCATTTGGATGCAACTTTACATAACTATTTTACCTGAAATTTACGGAAAAAAACTCGACATCACTATGATATCATTTTTATATCAGATTGACATCAGATCAATCGCAATGATGTTAAAAGGACGTCAAATTTCGTCATTTCTTTTATGTAAATGTTTTACGTAAGGAGGTATGGAATACCGAGTTATATGAAATACATATGACTCATACTCGTATATATGACTTACATCTTACGTAAATTATAGTACATAAGTACAATATTGTTAAGTGCAAGCAATGTTTCATTCCAAAATTCATGTTTATGGTTTGGTTTGGTTTCGTCTATGGTTTAAAAATAAAAATATTAAAAAAAAGGTATAGATAATATAGAGGGATATGAGGTGATTGATGTACTAAGAGAAAATATTTGAAAAAGTTAAAATAAAAGAACAATGAAGAAAATGGTTTTATTGAATATCAATCAGAAATCCCTCAACATTACTCAATAAATGTAATGTCATCCTGACGTAAATTTTACGTAAATGTGTTTACTGGGTACTAATAAGTTTGTTTTTATTAATAAACTTGTATTGGCTAATTGGCACAATCTTTGTTTCGTCGAAACAAACTTCCATAAGATTTTCTGAGCAGCATATCTTCTCCGTTGTTCCATAGGTTTTATGTTTTTAGAGTAGTCCGAATATCCGTCAAATATAAAAACAGTTTTTGATACATAATGTGTTTGTATACACTTAACCTATTTATTTAAAACAACAGAAAAAGTAGGTACCATCTTTACTCCAAATGACGCGACGCAGAAGAAATCCACCATCGACGATGTACGTCACGTTATTTTCATTCAGTTTGATATCAATAATGTATGTATGTATGTGTGTTTAAAAAATGTACCTATTTATTGATAAATTATATAAATGATTCAAAATCCAGGTAGTACATATTCACAGATTTTCACGGTTGACCTTGCGTTACATATGGCTGAGTGAGTCGAAACGGGTCATCAGAAAAAAAATTATCTAGTTAATATTTATCCAATTTTTATACTCTACATGTTTTATAATAGATAAAAACATGATTGGAGCAATAGAAAAAGAGATAATAGCGAAAACGATGCAGACACGGTATTATATGAGACTTTAGAGACAATTTTTAGAACTCTAAAATGAAGGTATATACAAAAATTCAGTTTATTAGCTCTAATTGCGTGACTGGTCGCTAAACTTTAAAGAGATTTCGCGTAATGGTAACCGACACTGACAAAGAGTTCAAACTGATTAAAGCGGCTTATGTTTAACTTAACACCAGAAGCGAATTTTAAAACATCAGAGATCGAAATGTGGTTGTATCGATACTGAAATATGACTTGAGTAAAAAAAGGTATTCTGCTAACAAAAAATACATTCCAGTCTCAGTATCATCTCAGTTCAATCTCATGACGATCTATTGACTGATATAGATTAAAAATATGCAGTAGTACAAGAAACAGATAGTTTTTTTTTTAAATTGTTAATTCGATGACTTTATAACTTCAAAACTTGTTTTGTTTATCAACAAATCACCAAGGGAATAATTAATTCAAAAGTATTTTTTAATTTGATTTGTAAGAACAGATATCGGTGCTCTTACAAATCAAATTTAAAAAAAAGCGAGAAGCCCAAAATCGATCTAAGTGGACGATAGGCTGATGATGATGATGATGTATTTTTTAAAGTCTGAAATAAATAATAATGCATAGAGATAAAAGCATAGAGTGAACACGGGATACAGCTGCCTGTGAGTGGAAGCGATATAGGCAACAAGGAGTGATGGATGCCCAAGAGTTCCCTCTGTCTCTGTTTAGCTAAGTTGCGATTGGCTGTCGTGAAGTGGATATGGTTTTGATCGTAGAACAGGAGGGAGATAAGAAATTTTGTAAACAAATTGGGTGTAAGTAATTCAAACTTAAAGTATACAAAACACGTATCTCAGAAACTTGACGTAAACATTTGAAAGCCGTGTAAATGTTTAAACGCCCAAGTAGCAAAGTAATTGTTAGCAGGAACTCTGAACGACAGCAGTTTAAACTGAATAACCTCAAACTGATAAAGGTTTTTGCCAGCCAGGGGCAAAATTTAATTGCGAGGTACAATTAAAAATTACAATTGATTAATTGTAAAATTTCAACTAACAATTGATTAATTGTTAACCGTGACGTTTCAATTAACAATTAATTAATTGTTAACTGTTAGTTGTTCTTTTAACAATTTGTTAACTGTTAGTTTTTCAAATTGTTAATTGTTCCTGCAATTAAACTTTAATTAAATTTAAATAACGTAAATAGAAATAACAGAAGATGGAGGAGTGGCACATGGTAGGGCTCTTACAAGGTTGACTGATGGTCTTGCAAAGTGAGCAGGATGCCGTTGGAAAATAATTATAAGGCTGACGGGCTGACATTCTACTTGATTAATTTAATAATTATTAAAAATGAAGAATTTGAGTTGAGCCTAATATAGTGATAATGATAATTGCTGATGACAAATTTGATTATATTTTACTTTATTATCTAGGAATAATAAAAAATCTCAAAAAAATGTTTAAATTATCATCACTATGTTGTAATTCCATGATGTCTATGCCTCAGCTACAAAGGTGGTTTTTCTTTTCGTATTTATTGGTAGTTTTTGTTGTTTTAAAAGTTGTTACCTAAATAATACCTATTATTAATTAATATTTGTAAAGAAAAGAACTTTGTAATAAGGGGTATAAAAAAAGTAAGTAGGTACATAACATTGTATTATTTACAGAAAGAATATCGAAAAGACAGTCATCGTCATAAATAATAATAAATTTATTTCAGTAATCAGTTTGTACTACATACTTAAATGTTATTGATTAAAAGCAGTACAACAAATCTAAAATGGGTAATAGGACTTCCTTTCCTAAAGTCGGCAGAAAATCGATCTGTATTTGAGGAAATAGTCTACTACTTACTATTAAGTGTGTTCTAACACACTTTACATAATAGTAAGAATTATCATTACTTTTCTTGTCTTGCATAGGTATTTTGTTGTTGTTTGTTTCCTTGAACTTTTAGTTAGCACAATTTTTTTTATAAACTCTGCAACAACTCTCTCTGTCAACAACTTTGTGTTTGTCAACTGCGCGTTGAGCACTCCACAAATACAACCAGCGTTTATGTTCACTCATATTGACCGAATTAAACAACATTTACGACGGCAAATGTATACAAAATCTTCTTCTTACAAAAACAAGAAACCAATTTCTTACAGACTGCTGTTGATCAACATTCAATCTTTCTTTTATAAATGTCAAAATTGACGTTTGTATAATTATTACTAAGAATACGAGAATACCGATTTACACTGTTTTCCACTTTCGATGACAACTCGATATCATAACATTACAGTCAACTTGATGTCTAAAATTTTACTACAAGAATACCATTTTTGACATTAATGATATCGAGAGTAGATCGGAACCGAATTGAGACCAAACTTTTATTACGAGAATTGGCCTTCTGATATAGTAAAATATCACGTCAAAAACACTTTATGCTGCCAGAATAGTATCTAAATAATCCATTACTTACCTATTAAAACATAAAACCTTAGTTTAATGTAAATTTGTAACCAAAAATTTTAAGAATTTTCTATCCTAATAAAATAAATGACTCGCAAACTTATCCTAGTTAACCCCAAAAATAGTAGGTAAATGATCACCAAAATTTCCTTTAGTTAGGTACATAAATTCAGTGGACGAATCAAAGTTTTAATAAGCTTTCGAGGGAATTTCCGAATATGTAAGGAAGAGTCATCTTCACTCCGGTTAATGTTACGTACTCACATCAGAAACCTGAGTATGTCGCCGTATTACTGATGTGGGTCATCCAGAAGCACAGGAATTAATTTTTTCAGGACCAATTACAGCCATCTCATTATTATAGGTATAATGAGCTTCTATGACCTTTGATCCATTGTACAGTTACCTAGTTTTCGTTGCACACTTCCAACAGGAATTGGTGACAGTTGCAGCGTTGTGTATAAGTTTCGAGATGGTGATTTTGCTTTGCAAGTCTTATAGTACCATTGCTGTTCGAAAGGATTCGAATGAAGCACCTAATCCTTTGTATTTATTGCGGAAGTCGTTATAGTCTTATCAGCACTTTTTGCACAATAAGTAGATAGGGAATGTAGTGCAGGCAATAAATTATTTCAGATAGGTACAAGTCGCTTCTGCTATGTTTACGTTCTCATTTCATGAGACAAGAACCTTTTTTTATTTATTTGTTGACTGGGTGGGAAATCCCTTCGGATCTCCGATCGCATTTTTGCGACCAGGCCGCCATCCCATCGCCAACCGCAGCAGTTCATCTGCCACCAGAGGGCCCCTGCCTCTGGCAGCCTGCGGCCCCGTCAACGCCTAATATCGCCGACGACTTCTACGCTCGGGATCGGCCCTCTCCCGATCCTGTTCAGCGGTCTCTGTTTGGAGCATTACAGCTTCACAGAAAGAGGCCACTGCGCCCCAGCCCTCCTCACCCGCCAGCATGGCAGCAATAATTGCTGGCGGGGACAGGTTTGTCCGATTTGGTCGACCAGGACGTCGCGTTCAGACGCCCATGCGTAACAGTCTTCCAGCGAGTGCTGGGCGGAGTCCCAGTCGTCTGCGCAGTGCTGTCATTGTGCAGCCTCCTCGCGTCCAATCCGACTCAGATACTCACCGAAGCAGCCATGACCAGTAAGTACCTGCGTCAGTCAGTAGTGACCTCCCTCCCTACCTACCAATATAATACCTATATATGAGACAAGTTCCTAAGAACTAGACGTTTTGGTTGATTTTTCAATGTGTCGAAAATGAAATCGGAACTTGATTCGAAAAATAACCTAGAACACTTTAATGTCACATTTTGCTTTTTTACATACCTAACTATATTTTAGATGTAAACGGATGCATCAAGTGCTGGAAATATAAATATGCCCAATGTCTATACACAATACGTGAAAAACGACAAACATTGGGACTAAATTATCATCCACGTTTTAGTAAGTTCATCACGTATGGCGATGACGCTAAGTTAAACATGTACGATGAAGAAGCACAAACTCAAGAGAGAGCTTTTTATTCAAGGTAATATTTGTTTTATTTCCAAGGAGAAGATCTACTTAGATACGCGTGTGCAGAACTCAGAAATACGTAGGTAGTTATTTAATGTTTGTTGTTGTTTTCCGTGTTTGTTATTGTGCCGAATACGGGCGAAAAAAAAACTATTTATCGTTAAGAGTGTAAAAACAATAGTAATACAGAATACTCTTGTCATACAATTTTGAAGGTGTGTTCTATGCGTTTTAGGAGCGAGTTATTTAGTTAATAGTTGGATTCTACAAAATTTTCATAAGTGTCACCCGTACTCCTGCAATCGCAACATTGGTCTCGCAACAGGCTCCCTAAACTGGGCATCACCTAATTTCCACTGCAGGTCGATGAACGGAAAGTCCATATAAAGTCTCTGATGCAGTGGTCCTGTCGCATGTCGGTGAAGAAAGGAGTGTACACAAACACTGTATCGGGCGGCGGAGACTGAAGAAAAGTCCGCTTGTCAAAAGTGTGTACAAAAAGGCAGCCGTCGCATGCAAAAAATATTGATGAGTTTATACGCGAGCCTAGTAATGTCGCTTTTACCTGGTTTGCCGAAATTATTTTGGCTTGGCATATTCACTTTTTTACATTCCTTTTAAAACGAACATTTATGCGTTCTGAGCTACTAAACTGAAACATTTTTTTTACACTTAGCAAACAGAGAAACGTTCTAGACGGTCATACTTCTCGAATATTTGCATGCGCTTTCAACCCCAAGTCGCATCACGAATTAATATCAGGCGGTTGGGATGATATAGTTTTTTGTTGGGATGATAGACAGCCGTTTGCGACGAAATACTTTGAGGGTGTCCATATGTGTGGCGAAGGACTAGACTTCGACAAACCTGGAAGAGAGGTCTGTATCTGTTAAGTACTATACAAAATTGTGAAGTAGCAGTATATTATTAGTGTAGTGTAATTTATTACAAAATCAATATCAAATTGTCAAAAAGGTTGGAATATGTACAATAACTGACTATGAATGTATTCGAATTTATGTTAAAATATACAAATTTATAAAATGTACGAAAAACTCGTTATGAACAGATGCGTTTTTGAAGTGAAAACTTTTTAAAGCGCGTTGGGCATTTTTGAACAACAAACAAAATAATGTATTTTTTTAAATGGAAAGAACCATTGAACTCGCGACACTTACCGACACCTCTGTATGTAAGTAACTACATATATTGGACCCGTTTACACGAGTTCGGGTTAAAATACATTGATAAATATAACTATATATAATATAAACATACATTGTGTATATACATACAACATAGGTAAATATACCTGTCTAAACTTTTCGAATCGAAAAAAAAAAAAAACAAAATCTCTTGCCTTGGCCTTGAGGGACGCCGAGCGAGCTGTAACTTCAATATCGCTTCTACATTTCATGACATGGCTAGCTAATGGTAGGTTGATGATTTGTTTTTTCTTACCAGCTTACTGTCAACATCTTTCAATATAATTTATAGCTCAGATAAACACATATGTAACAAAAATGTGTGTACAAGTAAGAAAAATCTAAGTCTTATACTATCGCTTTCAAATAATTAATTTTGTTTAATTAAAACCAAACTCTTACATTCTAGATATTGACGTGTTCCTGGCAAGAAAGAGATTGCATTCAAATTTGGGATTATGGATCTTGCAAATTAATTAACACAATTGTACCAGATAAACATGCCTCAAAATTATATTGTGGTAGACTAGTACCTCAAACAAACTTGATGGTGTGTGGTGGATCGGACTCCAATATCTTACGAGTGGTGGATGTAAACATGAAAGTCGTGAGTGTTATAAATTTTTTAATTACATTTTTGGACACCAAGCAACATTTTTGGCAACACGACATTGCTTATCATGTTAGTATAACCAACGCAAACCTAGTTCTCTTGTGGTCTTGACACAAGAGAAGTAGGTTTGTGTTGGTCCCGAATGTGTGGGAAGTGTGCGCTGACCCTGATGTGGTGGTGGGTTTTATTCGTGTTTTCTGTGAAGTTTTTACTAGTATCACAGAGTTTAACATAGATGGAAATGGGCATGACTAAAATTTAGTTTAGAGATACGCATCAGACTCAGTCGATTCAACGATAATTCACAATCTCTTCCCCACCGAATTATCATACTAGCAGATTAGAAATGTGTGAAATGGGCGTTACATACTACATAATATGTATTTGATAAGTCATTAAAAACGGGATATTTATCAACCATGTTTATTTCAGAAATTAGTTATTACATATTCAGGTTACTTACCATGGCAAAATCTGTATTTTATATCAAACATTTTCTGGTTTCTCTCTGATATTTAGATAGGGGTTTTTCTTTGTATAGGCATTCCCCTTCTACATCCGTTAAGCCTTACAACTGTACAACCCTTAAACTAAAATACCTTTGTAAATTGAATTATTCAATTGGTAAATAAGTCGTTTTTGCTAGATTTTTCATTGATTCTCGGCTCCTATTACTCATAGCGTGATGTTGTATTTTATAGCCTTCCCCTAATAATAATATTTTTTATGTGAATCAGTAGTTTCCGAGATTAGCGCTTTCAACCAAAGAAACTATTATTATATCGAATGCAAGAAAGCAGCTAATTTAAAGCGAAACGCTAGCTTTTACATTGATATATAGTTATTATATAGAAACTGAAATCCAATTATGGAAAGTATCTGGTTATTTTTCTTGGAATGGCTAAAGTTTAAGTTAATAAACCGAAAGCTGTTCGGAAAAAAATATTGTGTATCCCGCTGTTATTTTACTTACATACTATCCTTTGTGACGATCAAGCCATTGCCAAATATGTCTGGGCACATTGTGGTCGCATCAAAATAATATTTAATATTCTTATTTTTAGACCGAGTGTTGTATAAGAAATAATCCTGGTGACATATACGCTTTTGATTTTGGTACTGTTAGAAGAAAACCACGTAAGGGAACGTCATCTTATAAAAAACTGAGTGAACTTGGAAGTGTCCCTCGTGTAGCCTTCGTGACAGGAAAAAGACTAGAGACGGTTGATTTTGGATGACTCTGCAAGCATAGAAAACTAAGAACATCTAACTTTTAAGCCTAGATAACAAAGTCAGATTAAACTCATGCAAATTAATACTCTGTCAAATGTTGAATAAAAATTATTGTCTGTGTTTACTGTTTTCTTTGATCCAATTTCGGGTAGGGACTCGTACACAAGAAACGCTAACGTTAAAGTTGTACATCAGTTGTATTGAATTTATTCTCCCTTTTAACATTTCTCTACTCACAAACAGCCGTTTATACAATTTAAGTGATAGACAAATACACTGTGATTTCATTTGTAAATATAGTATATAAAACTCTAGAAAGATAAAATATCGAGTTTGGCAAGAATTCATAATAAATAAAAAACATAAATACTTCTACATAGTATTATATACAGGATTTGAACATCTGTTATTTGACCGATTCAAGTTGAGCCTCGTCAACGGATGGGTCTTCCCATGTTGCAATTGTTTTTTAGTTTGAGCTTTTGACATCACAGTTGATACTACCAAGTCGCTGTAGTCGAGCGGCGCCAGCGAAACTACCGTGGGAGCCAGCGGCGGCCGCTCGGCGCTCCCGCGCACCGCGCCGCAGAACGAATTGCGAAGCGCCGATCGCGCCCGCGCCTCGCTCTCCGTCGTCAGACGACTCTTCTTCGACGTCGACTCGTGCGAGGCTCTGCTCCGACGCACCTCACAGCTCGATTCGCATCGCGACCGACTGGGCCTGTCGTACCGGTCGACCAGGACTTTGACGGACAAATCCTCGCCCGAGGGAGGCGAGGCCGGCGGCCGATCGCGTCCCTCGCCGGTTGACGATCGTCCCCGCGACTCGGTGTGACGCAAAGTGTCCGTTTCCGCCCGAGCCTCGAACTCCTTTTTGAGGTTGCTGACGAGACCGGAGGCGGCTGCAGGCGCGGCGCGAGGCAGGTCGCCTTGCGAGGCGCATGTCGCGCGGCGCCGACGCAGGCACGCAGAGCCGCGTAGCCAAGTATCGGCCGGGGCGGACGCGGACATGCGGCCGCTCCACGTAGACGCGCCGCGGTCACGCGCCCGCTCCATGCGAGCTGCCGCGTCGGCGAGCTCCGTCAGTATGGCACACGTTTCGTTGAATTTCCTCTCGTTATCCGCTCGTCGCAATCCCGTTCGCGTCTCGGTGTACTCAGTGATAATGCCGAGATCAGAGGAGGACTTAGGTGGCGCAGGCCCCGGCTCGGCTGACCGATCGGCTTCGTCTTTCCTGACGCTGCGCTCCTCGGAGCGTTCCTTGATCCGTTTGACGGGTTCGTCCCGCGACACAGGCGGCTGAGGTCTGACAGTCCTGGTGTCGTAGGAGCCCCAGGATGAGTGCCGCGACAGGTCCAGTACGACGGCGCTGTCGAATGAGCTCCAAGAGCTCTGCCTGCTCGGCGGTGGAGCGTCGTCGTCGACGGCTCTCCTATCGTCGCACTCTAAGTTCGAACGTTCTACGATATTACCGATAATGTCACTAGTTGTCACTTTGTTTGTTTTTACATCTATTATTCCACTGTCACTTTTCACTATATTGTCACTATTGCTAATAGTCCGATTTTCGTCAGCCTTCGACCACGAAGCTTCCCCTGGATCCCAGGTATGAATTTTTTCCACTTCAGAATTTGAGGTGAGAAATTTGTGACTAAAATTTTTGGATGGAGAAGGTTGCGGAGGTTTATTGGGCACGTCTGTCACTTGCATAACAGATCCGGCCGTTATATCTAAGGGTTTATTACTTTGCGGTTCATTCTGGTTACTGAAATTTAACCTCTGAGATCTTTTACCCACTTCTTTCCGATCGCCAGATGCAGCGTTTTCTATTTCATTTACTATATGCTTTACTGATGGAGCACCCTCCTCTTTCAATCTCATAATTTGGTTCGGTGAGACGCTGTAACTTCCATTCGCACATGGCATTAGCATATGACGAGTCTCAAACGCTAAATTTTCTAACGAAACTGACGTTGGTGGGGGTGGAGGTAATAACTCAGACGCAAGCTTCGTATCAGGTGACCACGACCGTGGACGTCCTTTGTATGAACCAGTTAAAGCTAAAACCAAAGGCGTTGGACCCACTTTATTTTCAGCTTTTGATGTATTTTTTGGCGATTTTAAATTAGTTTCTGACTTAGATCGTTGCAGTTTTTCTTTATTTTTCATTGCGTCGAGAATACCTTGGTATGTCTCAAGTTGACTTAAAAAATTAGTGTTAGGTTTAATACAACTTCGTTTTGTTTTAACATGTTTAAGCGCCTTGTCGAAATTCCAGTTAAACGCTTTCATGGCATAGGCAATTACTACAGAAGCCGATCTACTTATACCCATTTTGCAATGAACAAGAACTTTGGAACCTTCATTTCTGGCTTTATTTATATATTTAAAAGTATTGTCCCAGTGCTTCAAAAGGTCAGTCTTCTCGTCGTCGTAAACTCTAATGTTAAGATAGTCAAACATGCCAGGAAAAAAATTGTCAATCTCTCTTGTAACATTCAATATGTGCCTCACCCTGGAACAAAAGAAAATCAATCTAAGAAACTAAATACACTGTACTGAATCTAAATAGAACTTAGTCCAGTAGAACACATTTTAAATAGAATAGTTTTTAGCCATTTTAGATATGCTTTAGTGATGTGCCGGATATCCGTATCTCTATCCGCGGATATCTAAGGGAGAAGAGAGATCCGTATCCGTGACCTTTTTTGGCGGATCTTTCAATACATATTACATAGATGAAATTCTGTATAGGTGATTTTGTATTCACTGTAAAACTCTTAGGTATGTGTTTGTGGGAACATGGGGTTCCCACACGGTGGGGGGGGGGGGGGGGTCGTCTACTCGTCTGTAGATGACCCGAGGTATGTCGGGCACCAGGGACTTCCTTTCTAGGTTATACCTGGTTCCCCGGCTATTAGTACCCGAGACGGCGTGCGGTTTTAGTCGGTTCGAGTCCGACATGCCACACCGGTGGTATCCGAGGGGATTTCCGCACGGAAAAAAAAAGAAAAAAAAAATCCGTTGTCTGTAAAGTCTGTTTACTGACGATAGTTGAACGTGACAACGTCATAAGAAAATACTGATGGAATGGTTGCATTTTACGAAAACATGTAAATGTATTATTGTATAGCAGCTGTCCACGCGGACGCATCGCTCACTCAAGTAGGAGAGAGACAGATGTCAAACGCTGCCGAAGGCCGATTGTGCCTCTTTGTCGCTCGTTCCGCGCTCTCGCTTGCACTTCAAGCCTTAAATGGAACGCCTCAGAGCGAGGTAACGCCGCATGAGTCATGTTTTTTCGAGCGTGCAGCCGTCTCCATCGAATTATAAGACGTTGTCACGTCAAAAGGTATGTGTTTGTAACACTATAAACAGCAACTTTTTTTTCTGGCCAACGTCAAAATGAAAAAAAATTGGTCCTCCATTCAAATGACCAATCAAATGTTGTTAGTTTGTATGGAGAAACAATTTTTTTTCTTTCGTTTTCGGTGTTAGTCCAGAAGAAAAGTTGTTGTTTATAATGTTGCTAATATGCACTTCAGAGGTTTCCAGTAAATTTAAAATAACCCTGAATAATGGTTATTAGGTAGCTATGAAAAACTATTGAATTCTGTTCAGATTACTTTTTATTTCTTAAAACAAATATTTGGCACCTTTGTATTGCAATCATTTATCGTACTATACAAAATCAACTAGGCAGGTCGTAGGTACTGAAAGAGCTATCTTTATAATGAGATCAATCAAACATCTTTGTATTAGCTTATTAAAATAATGTAATATTTAAATATCAACGGCAAAGCGTCAATTGGCGACAACCATCAAGGTCACGGGCTCCGATTGAGTAAGAAACTTAAGATCCGTATCCGCGGATCTTGACACTAAATATCCGTATTCGGATTCGGATCCGTATCCGCGGATATACTTTGTTAACGATCCGGCACATCACTAATATGCTTAAGGATTTAACGAACAATATTACAAAAAAATCGGTTAATTTTAAGCAAAATTTAGGGTTATATTATTTGGTTTTCCTAAAATTCATCATCATCAACAGCCTTTACTAGCCCACTGCTGGACATAGGCCTCTCCTCAGAAAGGAGGTTTTGGTCTACTATACCAACCTGGCCAGACGGGTTGGTATAGGGTTTGTTTCAAGTTTTCCTTCTCTTTGCAGTGTTGTTGTTCTGCGTAGTTTACTCCCTTAGTCCCTTACGACACCCTCGGGATGAATAGGGGTGGTGACACTCTGTGCTCTTAATCCGTCACTACACGGAACCTTCTTAAATTAATTCACATGTAAAATACGATTCTACTATATTAAAGCTTAACGTGGATGATATTAGTTTATATTACAGAAGTCTACAGATACTTATACATATCCAGTCGCCAACGCAGACGGCGTAGCAGGTAGTGTAATGTGTATTGTTTGTAATGTGACACTAACTGCGAATGAATATTAAAATAAAGTATTGCACGAATTACCGGAACTAGTAGTAAGTGCGTCTTAATGCATCACGTAACTAATATTTAGTAGGCACCTAGATAAAACATACCCATTCCGTTGTAATTCTTCTAAGTTGCTAGCATTCCATTCAGAGCCTAAATATACGTGGTCGAATATTTCCGTAGGTGCGTCCATCTGTCCCAGTATTGTAAGCATCTCCTGATCGATAAATGACTTATACTCGGCGAGGTCCATGTCGAGTTCCTCTTCAAGCCGTCCTCTAATTGCTTTGCTGGTCACCTCGTCCAAATCCACGCTCATCATTATTTCTTTCAAAGTGCAGCGAATGACACGTTCAGTTTCATCCCTCTCTCGGGGTCTGCACGAAACAAAATTACTTTGTACTAATGTTTTATTGTACATGTGTAACTATGAGAGAGAAGGTAAGGTGCAGCAGACTTTGATCATATTGAAGCGGCCTAATCAAATCGCATCTTAAAATTACAAAGAATTATCAGCGTAATTGCTCATGATTTTCTGTAAGCTATTTACCCTGTGCTTATTTGCTAATTCTGTTGTATAAAAAAATTTGAACTTATTCATTAAAAAAAATGTACTGTAAAAGTGTTATTCAAAACAAAAGCAATCTTGAGTATATAAACTTTTTGATGGTAATTATTAAGTCTTGTAAATCTTTGCACGTTAACAAAGAAGTTTAGTAAACATACTGGCCGACATTCAATTAATTTCTAGTCCTAGGCCACGAAACCAGGTCTCGGCAGGCATGTTATTGAAATGATTTTACCTGCATTATTAAATATAGTTTTGGCGTAGGCCCTACATTTGTAAGTTGTGCAATGTTCGAGTGATATTTACTTGAGCCTCAATGAGTCTGGTGAGGGTGGTCGGCGAGACTCGATGCAATCCATGGCATGCCACTCATTGAGACATGAGCGGTCAGAGTCGACGTGGCTTTCATAGTAGGAACACCAAGAGTGCGACGTGCCACCGGCGAAGTGATTTAGCTCGCGGGCTTGTGCACTCGCTCGGTGGAGAGTTTGTAGTGCAGACCTGAAACAGTTTTTTTTTTTATAGGGTTAGATTATTTATTTAAAACAAAATTGCAATTGTTTTATCAGTACAGAAAGCTAATATTTAAATATTAGTTTTGTGATCTTTTGGCGCAATTATGTCAAGTAGTCAGCAAAAAGTAAACAGCATATTATTCCGACTGTAATACCCCCTTTAAATTAAACTGTAGCACATTCATCTTTTATCTTTTTTTAAATAAAATACAACAAGAGAAAACTTCAATGCGTAACGAAATAATGTCAGTAGTATGAATTGACTACATATTCGAGTCATGCATTATTGGAATGTAACTGTAGCTCACCACATGGCCTGCACAGACACTGGCTTGAATATATGTTGTTGATTGCACACACATACGCTGAACCCTCTGTGGACAATGAATCTCTAATTAGTTATTGTTCCGAGTTTGATAAAAGTATTAAATGAGGAAAACGGTTTCGAGTTATTTGGTCACTAATTGCTACATATAACGCATTCCCAATTCCTTACGTAACTTGTACTACAAAATTAATTATAACGATTATCGGTTAACTCAGAAATTAGTTTTATGTTCAGATCAAAACTTAAGCGAAGTTCTTATTATAGAACGCGTTTAAAGTTTTACTCAGTTAAAACTAATCTCAAGTAGTGATTTGAACTTAATCTGAGTCGTTCTCAATTACGTTGCCGCATGGTCGACATTTTTATTCCGTATAAATAATTTAAAAAATCCGTTCATTATAAAATATCTACTTAAAATCAGTTTTAAGACTAGATTTACGTCTAAAACTTAGTTCAATAATAAAGTACCCTTATAGAATTAAAAACAACCAAATTCATATAAAATTGGCAAAATATCGGACTCGAACCGACCAAGTTGGGAACCAGGTGTACCCTAGAAAGGAATTCCTGGTACCCCGACGTACCTTGGGCCATCTACTGCGTGTAGATGACCCCCGAGAGAATTCCCACACGAGGCCGCGCCTCTGCTCAACCCACGCCGAGCATTCTGCCAGCGTGTGGAGAGCCGTTTCCACGGTCCGGCCATTGCAGTGGTGGCACTCAGGCGTTGGCTCCTTGCGGATCGGACACAGGTGATCTCCGAAGCATCCTTTCCCGGTGATCACCTACGTCAACCGGTATGAGAGGGTTCCGTGATGCCTCTCGAGCTAATCCTCTATAACGGGCCTTACCGTCGCGATAACGGCGTGCCCAGTGCTTGGTTGCCCAAGTCGTTCCTTCCACTCCACTAGGACCTGGCGGAGTTGGGATTTTTGGTCTTCGATTTCTCGAGTCTCAGGACTCCGACCCAACTCCCGCTGCTCCTTGCGCCACTGATACAGAGCCACAAGGGCTCTCGCCTCCAGGTCCCACGGTGGAGTTCCGGCCAGGAGACTTGCTGCCTCAAAGGAGATCGTGCGGTACCCCCTTATGACCCTGATGGCCAGCACACGCTATGGTCGTCGCAGTAGTGCGCCGTTGCCTGCCTTCAGCGCCCTGGACATAAGGCCCCTTAATTTTTTTTTATATTTCCATGAGTGGATAGAAGCCATCTGAGTACTTGTATTAGGTACAATGGCACGCATTATTCTTTTAAAATGAACAAATTGAGAACTCACCCATCGCCGTCTAATTTTATAGATGTATCGGCAAGAACGCGCAGAACGAGTCCGACGGTGGTGTGCTCATTGCAATCTATACCGAGTAACGCCGCTTCATTGCTGCGACATACCACTACCAGGTACCTCGTGCGATCGGCGTGAGCACTCTCTAGTTTCACCGCCTAGCAACCAACAAATGTCAAAAATTTAAATAGGATAATGTTAAGTACTACGTTTAGGGCAATGTTAAATATTAATCTAATGTCCCACCAATGTTACAGTTTGACCGAAAAATCTAAAAACCTATTGAACAGTGAATACGCCTCCATAATTTCTCAAATCATAATAATGTTAAAGCGAAACATTCTAAAACTTACATTTATATACGACCAATAATATTAAAAACTTGGCGGCTGACCGAAAATATCACCCCCGCCGGACTTTAACCTATTGATACACTACATTACATAAATAATACATTACATATTAAAACAACCGTCAAATACTAATAGGCTAATAGTTATTATGCCTAGTGACATTATGCGAATAAAAATTATGACAAAACAAATTAGCCTAAAAGATAATTATGTCAAATGTATGCCAAAAACAAACAATATGGCAAAATATTATATTGCCAAAAAAATTTCGAAGCAAGTATGCCAAATAATATTACTAAAAAAAACATTATGCGAAAAGACTAAACTATAAAAAATTCGGCTCGTTGCTATTCATGGAACACAGTGAGATTAAGCATTCCCTATGAAGGAAATTGATAAGCATTGTATTAAATAATAATTTGAAGCAAAAAAATTATCAGGTACTGGGAGAGAAATTTGTGCGTGTGCAATGTAGGATAGCCGTCGAGCATCAAACAAAATCTTTAAACTTAGTAGGACCCAGTTCATACTAACTTTTCTAGGATCCAGTTTAGATATGTTGAATTATCACACCAATTATCATTGTTTTAAATTATCGTTGCGAAAAGTACCTGATTAAATCAAATTTTATCAACACATTATCAAACACACCCATACATGTTCATGATTAATAATTGATAATATAAATAACTCTATTAACACTGCAAATTTGTGAATTCTGTTGAAAAAATATACAATGTTTTTCGTACTATCATGGGCATGGTATGACTACTCACTATGTTGAACCAAGTTTAAAATAGTATAAATTGGAAATGGATTTTAGTAGTAAATTTGTTACCTTAAGGATTTATTCCTTGCCATTCTTTTGAGGCACATTGCCTGCACTATTATGATTACTTTAAACAGTATAGTAGGGGAGCCCATGATGCTAAATGTGGATTTACTCGAGCGTCATGGACACCTATTAGCGCATCAGATATTTTAGGGATATGTTATTTAGACAACAAAAATGCTCCCATTGAACTGACGTCTGATGATTTTAAAGCGACAAAAGCTCGTAGCGAATTAGTATTTAAAGTCGTTCCTTCCACTTCTCCACGAGTACCTAGCGGTTGGTATTGCTGATCCTCGATTTCTCGAGACTCAGTACACCGACCCAACTCCCGCGCCTCCTTGCGCCACTGATTCAGAGCCGCAAGTGGTGGAATTCCGGCATGGAGACTCGCCGCCTCAAAGGAGATCGTGCGGTACCCCCTTATGATCCTGATGGACTCGTTGCGGTCGTTGCAGTAGTGCGACGTTGCTGGCCTTCAGGGCCTCCGCCCATACTGGGGCCCCATAACGGGCCCATGGACCGCACAACCCCCGAGTACTCTCCTGCAGGAGTCATCGGGTCCTCTCATGTAGGCAGCAGCCGCGCTAATGCCAATGCACGCGCTGTTCAACCAACTTGGGGACCAGACCTCGGAAATAAAGTCCGCAGTCCCATCGGCCACCGAGTACGAGCCCCAGATACCTTATCGAGGGCTCGTACTACTGCGAGCGTAAAGAACAAAGCCTCGGATTAGTGCAGAGCCACCTCGAGACCCAGCCGCCGGATCCGCTCAACGACTTGGGCAACCCCGGCCGTGGCTCTCAGGGTTACCTCACGGTGCATTCTGCCGCTCGCCGTCACGAGCGTATCGTCCGCGTAGCACGTGACGGCGACACCATCCAGGAAGGCACCAAGAAGCACCCTGTCGTAGGCGATGTTCACAAGAGTGGTCCTAACACCGACCCCTGTGAGACACCGCACGACATTTCACGTCTACAGAGACCGGTCCTACTTGGGTAGACGACGGCTCTATCTGACAAATATGCCCCGACTATGCTTCACTGCGGTAGACAGGCATTTCGTGATACACGATCGCCTCCCTGATGCAGAGGCGATCGTGTTCCATCGTGTTCCATCCTGGAGTTCTAGGCCAAAGTGTTGAACGCATTAGCGGTGCCCTTTTAGCCCCGGGAAACCGCTTCCTCCGCCGGAGCCCTCAGAGTGTAAGATCGCATTCACGGTGTAGCGCCCCTGAGAGAAACCGTACTGGTTGTCCGCCAGATCTTGCTCGAGGAGGCGCCTCGCAATCACTCTTTCGAAAAGTTTGCACACCTCGTCAAGCAACACTATGGGCCGGTAGGCGGATGGTGAGTCCGCCGGACGCCCCTCCTTTCGGATGAAGACCAGTTACCCGTCTTCCACAATTTCGGAAACTGGCCCCGCACGAGGCATGCGCTAAAGAACCCTATAAGTCGGGGCTCGAGAGCTACGTCATCTAAGGCGGCACACACTCGGCCTGGAATGCCATCAGATCCTGGGGCGGTGTTTTTGGCTTTAAGCTGTAGCACCGCTCACCGCTTAGCTCTGCGCAAGTGACCTCAAGCATGTTGTTGTCATCCACGTCTGTGGAGGGGTGTGTTTCACCACTTGCGATGGGAACAGGGAGCCGAGCACCTCTTCAAGCGGTTCTTGCTGAAGACACCGGGTCAGCGGCGGGGCCCATAGGCGCATCTTGCCCCTAACCATACGGTAGGGGCGTTCCCACCGATCCCGCTCCAGTGTCTCCAGCAACTCGCGGCGGGCCTCGCTCTTGGCCCGCTCTATTGCTGCCTGAAGGGGAGCCCCCTTTCCAAAGCTGTATCTCGCTAATAGCACCGCCTCTCTGGTTGCCGCATCTACGGGGCGGCAACGCCTTCTGCGGAACCTGGACCACTGACGCGGTTACGCAAGCTTGACGCAGCCATGCGATCTCCGGCGACCACGAGGATACCCGGCACCTCGCACCTCGCTCGTTATGGCCTCCCAAAACCACTGGTGCCTCAGCATCAACGTCTATAGGCCTGTCCGGCGCAGGGGCCCAAAACTGTACGATAGTGGGTTCCAGGAGGAGCTCCCGATCTAAGCGCTTGAGTGCCCAACGTGGTTCAGGTGGAGTCAGTCTGACTGGCGCGCCGCTTGTAGGAGCGGAGACGTCAAACCGAATATATCGGTGATCGTGATCGTGACACGAACGTCCGAATAAATTAATTTTATTTAAATAATATCCTAAATGCTATGACTGTCTCTGTTTAAATAATTCCTCCTGTAACTATTTCCAAGGCGCTGTTTAAAGCGACAAGTCTAAAACGTTGTACAACCATTTGGAATGTATGGTTCAACTTTTTAATTCCTTCGTGCATACCTACGACTGTTTTCCTTGGTGCTTTTAATATTATTTTAAGTTTTTTGTTTAAGTATTTGAATTATATCTTTTTGTTTACCATAAACTCAAACACTCTTTATTTCAAAAAAATTCCAAAATTGTTTGAAATCGTCCCTCATGTAGACTCTTAAAGTCATAGATCAACACACACAAAAGCAACAATCTCTGTTTTGTCAGATAGTAAGCAAATAAATTTAACAAAAATCAAACCAATACAAAATCTATGATATGCCTGTGCCGATCTACAACCGCCCGTTTCCAAGGGGTTGAGCCTTATGAGAAGAAAGGGCAAACAAACTCATGGCCACTCTTTTACAATTCACAGATAGATTTTGCAAATCACATATTTTAATATAAAATGAAATAAATATAAATATAAAATGAAATAATAAATATAAAATGAAATAATAAATATAAAATGAAATAATAATTGAATATAAAGCTGACTGCTTTGACATTTAAGGAACAATAATTCACTTTTAATGTTAGGCGTAATTATGACTTACACATTTCTTTTTTGCATCACTAAAAGTTAATCTAAGAAAAACATTATGTCCATCGTTGTAGGTATAATATGAAGTAAAAAAATATAAATAAATGTAACATGTACCATTTTGAGCGTTTCTTCTGGACGCAGCAAGTAGAACATGGACTGTAGGTGGTGTTGTATATCAGGCTGGGTGAAAGCCCGCGCCGGCGAGCGCCACTGACAGCCGCGCTCTGAACCACCCAGCACCACTGCGGCACCCTTATTTGCAAAGTAGCACTCATTGAGACTGTAAGCATAGAAATTTATCAAGTTTATAAAAACACATTAAAGGAAAAACATTCAATATTGTTTTTTTTTTTATGGATGAGGAGGCAAACGAGCAACCGGAAGTATCCTATAGGTTTTGGATCGAAAACCTATATGGTAGTTCCCGTTGACCTAGAATCACGAAATTTGGCAAAAAAAAACGTCTTACAGTACAAATAAAGGAATAATTACAAAAAATAAAAAAAGTTGAAAATTGAGATAAGTTTTGGAACTTACAAATTTTATATGTACGTATTATGTATGTTTATATGTACGGAACCCTCGGTGCACGAGTTCGACTCGTACCTGACTGGTTTTTTTGGGTTTAATTGGACTAGATTCAGTCTAGTCCAATCTGAAACCTTCGCTAAGAAAGTTCCGATTTCAGACACAATTTTGTATTGGCTCTTATTGGGGCGGCCGGTATAAAAGGCGTCTGCCGTGCTATCATCTGTATAGCTATGTATGTAACTTTGCAACATATCATTGATATGCAGAACAGTGTGTGACATATAAAACAGTGTGTGATGGCACACTCACTACTCCTCAACGTCAACAGCCTTTAATAGTTCACTGGCTAGACATAGAACTCTCCTTAGAAAGGAGGTTTAGGCCTTGGGTTGGTACAAGGTTTGTTTGAAGTTTCCTCCTTTTTCCAGTGTTGTTGTCCTGCGTAGTTTACCCCTTTAGACACCCATGGTGTAAGGATAATATATCGTACTCGTGGAAGAGATGTCAATAGAATAACAAATTAAGAAAAACTAAACGAAATCTCAAACCAGGGAATGACACACTACTGATGTTTTAAATTATTGGCTTATTCGAAAAGTTTACAAAGCAAGTTTCGAGAGAAATAGTGACAACTCCAACGTAAAACTTTGTAATGAAATATTTTTGGATTCTTGTGCTTGCTGCGTCTGGTTTTGTTCAGGTTATAGAGGTGACCGCAACTAAGATCAAATCAATCAAAATTCGATTAATCTTTATATATACGGGGTGCAAGGGATATCGTAACGAATACTGAAATAGGGTATTTAGACCAAATACTTTAAAAATCATAAGTTCTCATTGAGACTGTTCTAATAAGCTGTAATTTTCTAAGGAGTTGACTATCCCGCAGACTTCTTAATGTAGCAGCAAGTTTAAGGTTACAATGTCGTGACAATACCATCAAAGTAACATATACCAAACTTCATGTTAATTTTAGTGAGATCCCTTCATCACCTAGAAGTAAGCTGATGATCTTCAAAATTTATAGCTAAGCACCATCTCGATCACATCGCCTTTCGAACAAAAATCCGCATCACAATTGGTCTATCCGTTCGAGAGCAATGATAGACAAACAGACAGATACGCATATACACAGATATACAGGTTAAATTTATAACACCCCTCGTGTTCCATCGGGGTTTAAAAAGAAGAAACTGACGATTGATCAACGCACAGCTGAAGCCGCTGGGTGTAGAAGCATGAAATTCCACCCCTAAGGTGCATAATAGGAGGTTTGGAATTTTATATGAAACTTCGTTATATTTGATAGTAGCGTTTTCAAACTCAAAGTAAATACTCTTTGTTAAAAGTGGTAAAAACGTTGTTTCTAATTTTCAAAACTGCCCTTAAAAAGGGAAGCGAGTCAGTATGGGGAACTATATTTTTAGTATATTCTCAGTACAATTATTTATTTATAATATCAATAAATTAGATAATTATTAAAAAAGCCCCGACACACAACTTGGATTTGAAAATTGACATAGTGTATAGTATTCTACTAGTCAAGTCCTTTCATTTGATACCCATATGGAGGGAGTTATGAAAAAAAAATATAATCCACCATTATGTGGCGGCGACCATCTTTGACCGATTTTCATCTTACATAGTTTCTACTAATTCACCTTTCAAACAAAAAAAAACAAAAAAACAAAATCGGTTCATCCGTTCAGGAGCTACGATGCCAGAGACACGCACACACACAGAGAGACGTCCAACTTATAACACCCCGGCGTTTTTGCGTCGGGGGTTAAAAATTGGCAATATACGCGAGCGAAGCGGTGGCAATAGTTAGTGTGCACATACAACTCTGTGTAAAAAGTATCGGGAATATGTCAATAAAAAGACCCGCGTAAAAGAGGTCGTTCTAATTTTTTTACTGCATGTTGGTAGCACTGTACTGATTAAGCGCGCAAAATTTGAGCGGGATCTGTCATTTAATTTGTTTTAAACTACACTTTTTGTTGGTGATAGTTTTGAGTCCTCGGCGATTTTTACAATGGAAAATATTGTTGAACAAAGAGTGTGCCTTAAATTTTGTGTTTCGAATGATATTTCTTGTGGTGAATCACTAAAAATGTTGCGAAATACCTACGGCGAATCGTGTATATCGAAAACAAGGGCTTATGAATGGTATAAGGCTTTTAAAGAAGGCCGAGAAGTAGTAGTAGACTTGCCTCGTTCTGGTAGACCTTCAACCGCTACGACCAAAGAAAACATCGACAGAATCAAGAAGCTAGTGCTCGAAAATCGACGTATGAGTCTGAGAGAGTTGGCTAGTGAGGTGAACATATCTTTTAAGTCCGTCCACAACATTCTCATTGACAATTTAGGCATGAAACGCGTCGCCGCTCGACTAGTTCCAAAAGAGCTTAATTTTGTTCAAAAAGCGCAGCGAAAGCATGTCGCTGAAGACATGATTTCCCGAGCTTCTACGGATCCGACCTTTATGAAACGTATATAACTGGCGACGAGACATGGGTTTATGAGTACGACATGCAAACAAGCCAACAGTCTTCTTTCTTTTTTTCAGAATGGCGTCTCGAAAACGAGCCGAAACCAAAAAAACCGCGGCAAAGTCGCTCCAAAATCAAGGTGATGCTGACAGTTTTTTTTGACTACCGTGGTGTGGTTCACTCCGAATACCTTCCAGAGGGAGAAACAGTGAATAAAGAATATTATTTAGGCGTCATGAAGCGTTTGCGTGAGAGTATCCGCCGAAAACGTCCAGATTTCTGGCAACACAACTCATGGATGCTGCACCATGATAATGCACCATCACACACAGCCATTATAGTGAAAGAGTTTTTAGCGAAAAATTCAACAAAAGTTCTCGACCAAGCACCGTATTCACCTGATATGGCTCCGTCTGACTTTTTTTTATTTTCCAAGTTAAAATTACCACTTCGAGGGAAACGTTTTGAGTCGATAGAAGCCATAAAAGAAAATTCGCTGAATGAGCTAAAGGCCATACCGCAAATAGCCTATGAAAAATGTATGGAAGACTGGGTGAAGCGGTGGAGATGTTGTATTGCAAGCGATGGGGCCTACTTTGAAGGCGATAAAATAAATTTAGATGAATAATTTGTACAAGGTGTCTCAAAAGAAAGTTTACATTTATTTAGCTTACTGCGTGAACGCAACGAGTCCGAGGGGCGCGGGGGTTATGTCAATCGGTAGCCCGGCTCTTGGGAATTCAGTTGCTATGGAGCGTTTCTCGGGAGCAGACCGTACGTTGTGCGTGCGAGAGTTTTACAAAAACGGTGATTCGGCGACTGTAGCGCGTAGAAGGTTCTGTAGTGTTCGAGGTTTTCGCCATTTAAATGATGCGCCAAGCATTCCTCTTATTCGAAAATGGGTCAAAAAGTTTGAAGAGACCGGTACAACGCTGGAAAAACCAAAATCCGGGCGACCAAGGTCATCAAGAACGGTAGAAAACGTGGAGAGTGTTAATCAATCTGTTCGTGACGACCCGAACCTTTCAATTCGGAAGCGCGCAAGTGCTTTAAATGTGCATAGATCATAATTACACCGCATTTTGCACAAAGACCTAAAGCTGCACCCCTACAAAATTCAATTGGTGCAAGAATTAAAGCCCCAAGATGCCAGTCAGAGGCTTGACTTCGCAAATCAGGCGTTCGAGCGCTTTTCAACGTTTACCAACATCTTGTTTTCGGATGAAGCTCATTTTCATGTTAATGGACACGTAAATAAGCAGAATTGCCTAAAGTGAAAGTATGGGCTGCGATGTCGGCGCGAGGAATTATCGGCCCTTACTTTTTTGAAGACGAAAGGGGGCGTGCAGTTACAGTGAATTCAGAGCGTTATGTGGAGATGTTAAACGACTTCTTGGCGCCTGAACTGCAAAACTTGCCTGGCCATAACTAAAGAACATGGTTCCAGCAGGACGGAGCAACGTCACACACGTCCAATACGTCTCTGCCACGAGTTCGTGAAATTTTCTCAGGAGAATTGATCTCCAGGAGAGGTGACATAAATTGGCCTCCACGCAGTCCTGATTTAACCCCTATGGACTTTTCCCTATGGGGTTATCTTAAATCTAAAGTTTACGCGAATAAACCGACTTCCCTGGCGCATTTGAAAGAAAATATCCGTCACGAAATGGCAGCCATCACTGAGTTCACCTGCCGAGCCGTCATAAGTAATTTTACTGTTCGATTAAATGAGTGCCGCGAACGCGAGGGTCTACATTTGGAGGATATTATTTTTAAGAAATAAATGCCCAAATTGTGTACTTTAATAATTAATAAACATTTTTTCGATACACTGCTTACTTTTTTTTTAATCGATCTACTAAATATAAACTTTCTTTTGAGACACCTTGTATTTTTTGTTTTATTGACAAATTCCCGATACTTGATGATGATTTGTTCATGGTTCCAAATTCAAATTTTTGTTTTTTTTTGTTGTTAGCATCTTTAGAGTTTAGTTGCATCTGTTATTTATATGCAGCATCTGTTATATAAATGCAGTGCTGTTTTTAGTTATATCATATCTAGTGTGTATTGCGAATTTCATAATGGACAAAAACATCGAACCAAGAGTTTGTCTTAAATTTTGCATCGCCAATGGAATTTCGTGTTCGGAGTCACTGAAAATGTTACAGAAGGCTTACGGTGAATACGACTTACGACTTTATCAAAAACACGTGCTTATGAGTGGTACAAGCGTTCAAAAGCGGTGGAGATGTGA